GCAGGGTCTGGCACCCAGGGAAGGTCTCCCGAGCCGTGGCCCCCTTCCGTGGGGCGGGGTCACAGATGAGGCCTGTAGGGGAACCCCGTGAGACCGCCGAGCAGGGAGCGCACTGGGTGCGGATGCCGAGTTTAGAGGGACCCCGGTGAGACCTCTCCCTTAAGGTGCCTTCGGCCTGGTGCAGGGTTGGGGAATGGCTTACGCTTCCATGAGTCTAATGGGACCCGTGCGGATAGGGGCCGTGAAGGAGCACTTCCCAAGTCCAGAGGCTTCTGGGTCCCACGCATTCCTCTTTTATTCCATACCAGGGGCCTTTGAGATCGAAATCAACGGGCAATTGGTGTTTTCCAAGCTAGAGAATGGGGGCTTCCCATATGAGAAAGATGTGAGTATCTGCATGGCTGCCTGGGGGACCCTTGAGTCACACGGGTAATACACTGAAGCACCCCGCTTCACCTCTGCGTTCTAGCTCATCGAGGCCATCCGAAGAGCCAGTAATGGGGAACCCCTAGAAAAGATCACCAGCAGCCGTCCTCCCTGTGCCATTCTGTGACTGTGTCCTCCTGGCTCCCTGCTGTGCTGAGGGCTGAGACTTGGGTCTCCTGATGGCGGCTGCCCCCTGCCTCTTCCCTTCCTGAGCTTCTAAAAGACCCGACCTTCACTTTGTGACTCAGAGGTACAAGAGGGCAATGGGAGCTTCTCTGGTCTTGGGGATGGTAGAGAGACCCTGCTCATGGAAGACCCCTTGGTCCCTCTTTCCTGGATCGGTGCCCACACAAGTCCCGCTCCCTCCCCAGTTGATACTGTGGTTCTGATTTTTTTTCTCCTCCAGCCTGGGCAGTGTCAGCCATTGGCAATAAAGTGACACTACAGACACTTGTGCTGTCACGTGTGTGTTTACGTATCCAGCCCACAAGTGTAGGGAACAGCGTTGTACTACCTGGCTGTGCTGGAGGACTGGGCTTTTGTGGGTAACTCCGTGGTTCAGAAGCTCCTCTCTTAAACCCAAGGTCAAGAAAAGGAGTCACACAGTAGGTCCTGCCCTTCTGTCCCCAACCCTCAACTCCTCTTACCCAGAAGGAGGCAGTCACCTCCTTCTGGTTGGCTCTAAACAAGAATGATCTGGATCTATCCGAGGGCTCTCCGGACACCTAGCTCCTCCACTCCCACAGCAGGGAGCCTGACGGCAGGCTCCTTCGCCAAGCTTTATGAACTTTGCCGCAGGCCACCTCTTTCCCCAGAAGATGAGTGTGAATTAGGGACAAACAGTAAGGGAGCCCTGGTGGTGTAGTGGTTACATGTGGGGCTGCTAACTGGAAGGTCAGCAGTTCAAAGCCATTAGCTGCCCCACAGGAGAAAAAACGGGGCTTTCTACTCCTGTAAAGAGTTCCTGCCTCGGACACCCCCAGGGGCAGCCCTGTCTTCTAGGGTTGTGATCAGTCGGCACGGATTTGGTGGCAGTGAGTTTGTTGGGTTTTGTTTGTTTGCTTTGTTTTAAGGGACAACACAGAGCCACTCCCAGATAAAGGCTGGGCCTCAGCTGTCTTCCAAAATATATTTGCAAATGGAGAAGGGGTGTGTGGAGAAGGGGCACATCCCTTCCCAACCCCAGGGACCCGCCTTCTACACAGTACCTATTCCCCTAGGCTCTTATTTTATCTTAAAAAAACAAAACAAAACAAAAAAAACCCACAGAAGTAAAAACAAGCAATCTGTACAGGAAGTGGTTTCTGGACGGACGCAGTTGCTCCCGGGCAGCACGGGCAGCAGAGCTGGTCTCAGGGAAGTCTCTGAAGGTCACTTAGGAAGCCCCTCTCCTCATCCTCTGGGGTCCTCTTCCAGCTCCGAGGCTTAGCTTCCCTCGTCCTTCCAGACCGGGATCTGGAAGAGGGCTTAGAGGGGCTGCTGCCGCAGCCTGTGGTACCTGTTGGCCCCTAAGGGATGCTGGGGCAGGGCTCAAAAAGTAAACAGCAAGCAAGAGCACCCAGGGCGCCCCACCCTTCCAGCCAGGCTCCTTCTCAGCCACTTTGGAATGTGGATAAGAAGGTTCCTTAGGACCGATTCTCAGCATGGCGGGCTCCTTTGGACGCAGGCGGTCTGGGGGCCCTCTTCCGCCTCGTCCTGATGTGGGCCGGAAGTCCAGCCTTGCCCATTCCCTGAGGTACAGCGGGGCTTCAGCTGACTTGGCCTTTGGCCTCACACTGGCGCGTCCAGACCTAAGTACTCCGGGTTCTCTGCTGTCGGGGTCCCTTCGAAAGTGCTGGGTGGCGAGCCCCGCCCCGATGGGTCCTGGTCCCAGTAATAGAGGTTGTCAAAGGCTGGGCTGAAGGCGCGGGGAGAGTGGGGTGGAGGGGCAGCCCCAGTCCGGGGTGCCAAGTATTCAGGGTTCTCCACAGCACCCCCAAAAGCAAAAACATCTCGGACAACTCCATTCTTCCCAGGGGAGAGAGTCTTGGGGGAGAGCGTCTTGGGTCTTTCCAGAGTGGCACCAGCAGGGTGGGAAGGCGGCCGAGGGACCTCTAGGGGAGAGGGGGGCTGTGGCCGAACCCGGGGCTGGTTCACGTATTCTGAAATGGCAAGAGGAGGTGCATCGTTAGGGAAAGGAACCCAAGGATCCTTGTCCCTGCCCCCACAGTGGACACCTACCCAATTCTGCCCACCTCCCAACCTCAGCTCAGGCCTGGGCTCCATACCAGGCTGGGGACTGCAAGTCAGGGGGGCGACGTAGCCATCCGTCTCAGGTGTGTGCGTTCCTGTGGGGTCCTCGCTGTACCGCTGCAGAGGACTGGGGTCATGCGAGGGAAGGCTCTGCAGCCCCTTGGCTGCCCCCATGACCAGGTCGCCGTCAAACACATCGGAACCTGTCCCTTCCGAGGGTGCCAGGGGCGACCGCGGGGGCGCCTCATTGGAGGGCTCCAGCCCCAGGGCCAGCTCACCACCACCACTCTGAGGACAAGAGAGAATGGTGAAGGGGGGGCGTTCATGGATCTGGGATGGCGGCACCCTGGAAGATGCCGAGGTCCCAGGGCCCTTTGGGGTATAAACAAGGTGAGGTCACCCTGAAGAGGAGGGCGGCACGGGGTGGTCATAGGGCTGAGAAGACAAGTAGGAGCCCTCCTGAGGGGGAAAGGGCCCCCATGCAAGATGAGGGGGCTGGGGGACATTAAAGAAAAGCCCCGAGTCACAGAGAAGGGAACCACACAGCCACCACCGAGTGGCTGAGCACTGACCCTGGTGGATGAGCTGCGGTGCCTGCAGGAGGCCGGGGCGCCTGCACTGGGAGCGGGATCTGGACAGAAGAAGCCCTGCTGGGGCACCAGGTACTCCTCGGCATCCACTAGGTCCCCCATGTCCTCATCCTCCAACAGCGAGCGGTAGAAGGAGCTGTCCAAAGGGCTGGTTGGGCCCAGGTCCTCATTCTGGGGAGGAGGAGGCAGAGGGTGGCAGCATTGGCTCTGCCCCGTGCACAGCCACCCCGGGAGGGCTTGGGGAGGCTTCCTTTCCCACCCTTTGGGGGAGACGAGCATGGGGTGGAGAGGGCCAGTACCTGAATGACCACAAAGCGCTGGGGGTCCCTGGCCATGCGGGAGAATTGGGACACCAACTCCCGGAACCTCGGCCGGCACTCAGAGTCAATCATCCAACCTGCAGCAGCGGCGGCGGGCACACAGCTTCAGTCCCAGGGCCAGCTGGGGCCTTGGCCCTCCTCCCCCTCTGACTAAGTCTGGTCTGGGCAGGCCAGCTACTAAAGAGGCCCCAGAGTAGGGGGTCTGGGGCCAGACCCATGGGCAACTCCACGGTTTCCTTCTATTTTGCAAAGAAGTTTCTCCCTAGCCAGGCCTCTAGGCCCTCCTCAGGACGCATACTGTGAAAGGGAGGCGAGGCCCTTGGGACCCAGGGCCTGCGCAGCTGATTCTGTCTCGGGGAGAGCCCACGGATGTGTGCTCACAGGGCTTCGAGCTGCTGCTTTTTCAGAAACAGCGCCAGGGCTTTTCCTCCAAGGCACTTCTGGGTGAATTCAAACCGCCAGTCCTTCGGTTTGTAGCATTAACCGGGTGGGTCAACCCAGGACACCAGCACCTGGGTCTGCATACATCCAGCTTTTAACCCCCCACCCCCTGCCCCTGTGGGCCCCCAGCCCGGATCCCCCCTCCCCTGCCCTCCCCCACGCAGCCCAGCCACGCACATTTGACCATGATCATGTAGACATCAATAGTGCAGATGGGAGGCTGGGGTAGCCGTTCCCCCTTCTCCAGCAGGTCAGGGATCTCCCGGGCTGGGATCCCATCATAAGGTTTGGCCCCAAAAGTCATCAGCTCCCACACAGTCACACCTGGAGTCAGAGGTGGGGGAGGGGGGGAGGTCAGGAGTCTTTAGTGGACTTGGCCAAGGCTGTCCAGAAGTAGTGCACCATCGGGAGGGCGCAAGGCCAAGGGACAGAAGCTACCCAACCTCCACCTGCCCAGTTCCTGGGAATGTGCAGCTCAGGCACAGGAGCCCTGATAGCTTAGTGGGCTGAGATCCTTGAGGGCCGAAGTTCGAAACCACGAGCCACGGCACGGGAGACAGGGCTTTCCACTCCCACAGAGTGACCGTCTCAGACACTCACAGGGCAGTTCTACCCTGTCCTGTGGGGTCACTGTGAGTCAATGTTGACTGGACGGCAGTGAATTTGGTTTGTCTGCAGCCCTCGGGCAGGGCAGGGCACAGGGAGAGGGAGAGACGGTGCCTGTCCCAAGCAGGCAGCCTCTGCCTCCTTCCCTCTCCAGCTCTCAGCCATCCCCCACCCCAGGCCACTCCCCATCCTCCCTCCCTGCCCCTCCCTCACACACACCGTAGCTCCACACATCACTCTGGTGGGTGAACCGCCGGTGGAGAATGGACTCTAACGCCATCCACTTGATGGGCACCTGGGGAAAAGAGGAGGTTCCCTGAGCAAGGTGGCCGTTCCGGGTGCCCTCTGTGGTCCAGCCTGCTTCCCCCTGCTCCTCCGGCCTCTGACCTTGCCCCCGTCCGCATGGTACGCGGTCTCGTCAATGTCCAGCAGCCGCGCCAGCCCGAAGTCCGTGATCTTCACGTGGTTGGGGCTCTTCACCAGCACGTTCCGGGCGGCCAGGTCCCTGTGCACAAGCCGCACTTCCTCCAGGTAGCTCATCCCCTGGGGTCACAGGGAGCTCTGTGGACCTTGCCCACTCTCCCAGGGCCGGTCCTGCCGCTTGCCCCAGTCAGCCCGGCCCCCCCAGAGCTTACCTTGGCAATCTGCACGCACCAGTTGAGCAGATCCTGGGAGCCCAGGTGTCCCCGGTGCTCACGGACGTGGTCCAGGAGGCAGCCATAGGGCATGAGCTGGGTCACCAGCTGCACCGTGGAGGTCAGGCAAATGCCCAGGAGGCGGGACACGTATGGAGAGCCCACACCAGCCATCACGTACGCTTCCTGAGGGTGATGATACACACAGAGACCGTGTGGATGGCCACCAAGCCAACTACCTCCATGCCCCATGCCCTCCCACACCCCCCACAGAGCCAGGGTTCACAGAAGAAGGGTGAAGAGCCCAGGTGCGGGCAAGGCACTGTGTGCCAGCCCAGGAGCCTTACATCCAGGATTTCCTTGTTGGCTTTCGGGGACGTGTTTTCCCTCAACACTTTGATGGCCACTGGGATTTTCACATTCTCCCCATCAGGAACCCATATGCCCTGCAGAGGAAAGTGGGTGTGAGGAAGCGGGTGGCCAGAGGGGACCTGTGGTCCCTGTGTCCCTCTTGCCCATAACCTCACTTTTCACCACTTCCTTGCCCCCCTGCCTCCCCTTTTCCACTTCTGTATCTGTCCTCTCCCAAACAGTACCCTCCCCAGATTTGGGCAGCAGCTCCCCTCCTCCATCTACTACCCTGTCCCTTCCCCTCCTCAGGCCCCATCACACACCAGGCCCTGGCCCGCCTCTGACCTTGTAGACCGTGCCGAAGGCTCCAGATCCAAGCACCTTCACCTTCCTCAGCTCTGTCTCCTTCAGGATCCGCATCTGAGCCTGGTTGGGCATCACCCCGCTGGGTGTCAGCGGCTCCACCAGCTGGGGAAGCGGGCAGTGGTCAGTGCCCGGCCTGGCCACAG